CGTCCTCGTAATTATGCGACAATCTCTGTATTGTTTCCAATCATTTGTGACTATGCCCTATTTAGCCGTTTATGTGGATAATATTTTGGCTCTGGCACATTTGCCCGTCTGTCGGCTCTACCACACAGGCTTGACTCGACGTTTCACATGCGCTACACGATGTCTCTATAACGGAACACGCATACTCACAGTCATTTGTCAGGCTTGTCAAGTTGGCCAGAGCTACGAGGCGGCCGAAGCAATGTCTAGACTATGCAAAATAATACTTTGAAGAGCCACTTTTGTCATTTGCAGGACCGCTTCAACACAAAGACTGTAGGCATTCTCCTTAAAATGGGCTCGCCCAGGTGCCTCAGGCTTCGGGCCTTGTGCAGGACACGCAAATAACTTGTTTAAATTAATATATACTACTATTACGATATTAGTAGGCTTCGATTCTATCAATAATTATTTAATAAAGACTTAGCAAATCCAAGTGGCGTATGGTGAGTTAAGGACTGAAGTGGCCAGAGGGTGACTGGACAAATATGAGGCAGGTCAAACGTCTCACTCAAATCATATTTTCTGTGGGATCGTGGATTAACCAAGCCTCTATTTGCCAGTTCAACTGACACAAGCTACTTAGTTTCGGCATAAGTAGATTTTTGGTCTATCCGTGATGCATTTTTGTGTGTGTTAGAGGGCAAGAATATCTCTCTTTTAGTCTAGGAGAGCCCATTTCTACAATACCAATAAGGGCCCAAGAGATATTTAGTATAAAGAGATGTGAAATGTTGCATTGTCTTAAGATGCGGTGATGTCAAATGAGTTGGGCTGAGATTTAATTAAATGATATTAGGTGAGATAACACAAAATGCGAATAGAAAATATTGCAAATATGTATATTTCAAAAAGTATTACTAGAAAGTATGCGCATATAAGAAGAAATAATGAGCTAAATTACAATAAGCTTAAAACAGTTGATCCGAGGCTTAGGGTGACTTCGAGGAAAACGACCTTTGTTTCGCGTCCTTTGCCAGAGCAGTCATGACACTTTCCAGACTCGGACTGGCGACTTGGTAGTTTCTAGGCATTTCGCCCGAGTCGAAGACGTTTCCGGTAGCATGACTTGTCAATTTTAACACAGAACTACCAATTTTCTGATTAGCAGTTGTGCCATGTCTCTCTCCCTTCTCTCCTGCCATTTCTCTCTTCCTCTCCATCGCAACTTCCAAATCAGCTGGAAGTTTTGATAGCAACTGAAAGCGATGGAAGGCTAGAGTGAGTGTGTTAATATGCGAAGTGAAAAGGTGATGTGGCTCTCGAGCTCGAGGTAGCATCGATGGCGAGGCCTAATTCTAAGCATTCTCGTCTTTCTCTTTTCTCCTCCTGTCTTGTGCTCAGTCTTCTGCCTTCACCTCCAGCTGGAGACGGTCGACCGAGACGCCGACTCGGAAGATTTAATGTTTCACTCTATTCTGGAGCATCCGCTGTTGGCAACGAAAAGGCAAGTTCTGCATCAACATCAACATTTCAATGTGTGCATTCCGGAATGGGTGGACCGAGGCAACGTCTCTCATTCTAACTGACCACAACCAATGCCATGGCAGCAATAACCACATGTCCGCGCTCGTTGCCATGCCTACTAGCTTGGCTACAATAAGATTTGGGAAAAATTTAATATCAGTACTTAATTAACCTTCAGCCATTCAAGCTGTCCATGCCTTTATCCATGCACAGCTGACAGTCTTGAAAACTACTTATAGAGAAAATAAATAACGTCGTCGATCCCAAGTAAAACGCATACTTTCCTCAAATACCATTAAGCACTCTATTCTGGCAGGATTTTTATTTAAGCCCTAGTGATGCTATTAACAACTACTTATATCGAGAATTAGTAATATCGTCAATTCCGATGGCAAGAAAATATGTCCTTTTTTATCAGCAAGCTGTTTCAAGCATTCAAAAGCATATTATGACTTGTTGATATGGGATGCGAAAGTCAAGTTTTCACTTCCGGTCCTACCAGTCGGAAGTGGTAGGCCTGTGAACTGACAAGCCCATCTGACCCTAACGACACGATCGAGGTTAAGGCGTACTTATAGACCAAAGGATGGCATTTTGAGAGGTGCTTCCTATTGGCTAGAAACGCTGAATGCATCTTGAACAATAGTTCCCGGCATACCATGGCCACGGTACTCGAGGCCGAATGAGGGTCACTGCAAATCGTGACGCCCCGAAGGGTCGGCTCGCAAAGCAATTCTTGCCTGGTGATGTTTTCACAATGCATCGGAAAAAAGAGGCGATTGCGTCGAGCGCCTCAGCTGCTTACTTCCACAAGATGCATTGAGTTAATTATTATTTTTTACTTTTTTAACAAAATCAACAGCATTTTTTCATTTATTCTATGCTAGAACCAGCGAGTGGAAACCTGTGGTTGGTCTCCGGCATTTACGAGGGCAAGCAAGAACCGGTCTTCGAGACGAAAGTCCACATAATGTTGCCAACGAGGAACACATTGTCTGGATGCAAGAGAATGCGACCTTCCTTCAGCACCAAGTGAGTCTTGAAGCGTGTGAATTTATGTCGTAGTTTGTGTTTTGGCAACAGTTGCACAAGGTCATGGCTCAACTTGCACCCGATTTGCACATCAAGAATCACTTCTATCCTGAAAAAGGAAGGTTTTGAAACAACTGGAACATCTTCAATAATAACTGTAATCCGTCCAAATCGCATAAGGTGAAAGGAGAAGGATAGTTGAGTAGATTTCTCTTAAACTTGCCTCCCAAAAGGTCATCATCTCGTCCCAGCCGAACTGGACTGCGATTGCTAACTCGCCCGAACTGGTAGCTCATCAGCACCTCAAACGGAACTTGAACCCGCTACTGTTCAACATCCTACCATTACGCTACCACCAGCGACCCTTAACCACGGGAACAAGTAGACGTTAAGGATTAGTCAGGCTATATCACATTGTTGGTGGGATTTTCGATTAAGACCAATTTGTATTTTATACTAAGATCACACTCCCTACTTATATTGCGATCAAGTAAGTTTCGAAACTATTCGCCATAGGTCGCATACGTTGCTGAATAGTTGAAAAGTTGAATTTTCTCTCAATGAGAGGAAAAAAACTCTCATTCACGATTACAACCCCTCGGCCGCCTGATAGACATCAGTTAATTTGAACCAGTCTCAGTTTTACCAAATTCAAGCCTACACACATGCACATAATGTTCCAGCAAAAATGAATTCAATAATATATAATCTGATTATTTGTATATTGTCATGTTTATGCATATGCATGTAAAATAAGGTAGGTGTTAATGTGATTATTATGACATGACTTTCCTTTCCAATGGAAAGGTTGGTAGGAAGGAATTCATGAAATGGGCTCACTCCAGTGAAGGAGGATTGCTGAAGAGTGAAGACCGTTGAATTTAGTGAATACGTACTCAGCTCACCGTCATGAGACCCCGATGAACCTGTGCTATCCTTTCGTCTGTACTGCACTGGCAGATAATCAGAACAAGAATCCTAACCTGACGAAATAGCGCCAACAATATACTAAATCAAGAAAGAAGCTTTTGTATATTTTTTTCGGTATCTTTTTGGGCCCTGATTCTTGTTTTGATGATGTCCGTCAGGGCAGTACAGACGAAAGAATAGCTCAAGTGTTGCAGAACGGTTCAAACAATCCAACAACTCTCACTCCTCTGCAATCCTCCTTCGGTTTTCGTTAGGTCCATTTCATGAATTCCTTTTAACCAAATTATTATTTCGAAATGGAAAGTCATGTCATAGTAAATCATTAAGGAATTTTCCTAGCCACACATTTTCTTCATAGTTGTGTGATTATGTTTTCGCCTTTACTGGTGTTAGCCTTCACCAAGTAAAAAAAAACTACCAGTTCAATCATACGGCTACACTAGACTTAAAGATAAATAAGTTTCAGTTAGTCTATAATATGAAAATGTATGGATTTTCCTTCCGTTCATCTATACTTAAGGGCAAATATATATGATTTTTGTAATAATCTATTCGCGCAAACTAGGGATAAACTACAATTAGTCAAGGAAATCAACCGGTTCAAGTGTACAGTTAATATAAACTTCAGAGAAAACAAATTTCAATTGGTAAATAATGTGATGATTTATGCATTATAAGGTTAATTTATTCGCATGTACATTTATGTATGCATCTGTATGTTTGTATTTTCACGTGTACTATTGTTAGCCTGCACCAGATAACCTAAATCCCCTATTCCAAACAACATTTACGCAATACTCGAGTAAAAATAGTTATTTATTAATCTAAAATGGGTTTAATTGTGCATTTGGATGCTAATATCCATGAATAGAGATTTCTGTATGCAAAGGTGTGATCGCGTTTTCACCTATACTAGCATTAGCCGACATCAGGCCAAGAAAATCTGCGGGTTCAATCATTTAATTACTCTGTACTTTCGTAAACATTAATTGCAAGCAGTATGGAATGAGACTCGCTATTTTGTTACGAATGAATGCGTTTTCTTGGAAATGGAGCATTATGCCATGACGACGCTTGCTGATTTGAGACTAGTTCATCACAGTTGTATGATGGTAAGACGTAGGTTTCTTTAGGTAATCTAAAGAACTCCACTCCACGGCTGACCTTATTCGGTTTCTGATGAAACCAATTCGCGACACCCTTAAAAATCAAATTATTTTTTTGAGTCACATTCAATTATTAATTCATTCTTCGAAAATCAGCGTACAATGTGATGGTTGTTGTATTTTCAAGTCTGCCTATGTCCACCTATGATTGTGTTTACCTAAGCTATCTTGACTATATACTAAGTGGTGAAGACCTACTGATTCATCCATACGTACATACTCTATCTCCCCGTAAAATCTCGATGGTTTGCATTCCTTCAGGGCTTATGATGAGACGATATTGCTAAATAAAATGGTACTGAAAATGTCTAGACAAGCAGAATCATCTGAAAAATTCTTGAATTATTTTGATTGTCGAAAGTAGGCTATCTCGACAACAAGTAACTTTCTGATGGCCTGAAAACAAAATCCCTTTTTAAAAGGATACACTTTCTGTTGACACTCATGAGCTACATCATTTCTTGAAGGTGTTGAGCTCTGAGTGTCAGTAAGATGTTGTAGAAGCGGAGAAGTGGACTTGACCACTTCTGGCCAATTGACTTTCTCTTCGTAGATGTGAGTGCCAAAACCAACTTGTCAATGCAACCCTTATTATGGCCTGTTTGGGTCTCGCGTTGCGATTACAAAGAGCCCAAGGATGACCAGGAAAAACATGGTGATGTGGTGGACTCGATGGAAGATGAAGCAGAGCATCCTTCAGAAGGAAGAGAAGCTGGACTGCCTAATGTTTGAGGTATTCACTTGTGAAGGATGTAAATTCATCGGAAGAATGGTGTACAGTAATTTCCAAAAATCGCATTCCTCCCAGTTCAGGTCAAGAGTTTGAACGTTGTAGACTATTTTAGCTTAGTAAAAATATGTATAAGAATCTCTTGATTGAATGATGCTGGGGTTGAATTGCAGTTTGAGTTACAGTCAACCCACTTTCGGTTTCCGGTGAGGCCAAATTAAGAATAATCTACACTCGCTTCTCCAAAAGAGAGCAAAGGTTCTCCAACATCAGTAAAAATGTACTCATATTGTATTATTTTTCTCATATTTTTACTTCAGACCCGACTGTCAGAAGTCCTGTATCCAAGAGCTGTGGTTAAGCTGAAGCTGCGTTCAGAAGGATCTGGCCGTTGCCAGATCTGGAGCATTTCACCCTCGGGCAGGATCGTACCTCGCGCATTTTCTACTCAACTTGCACTCGGACTGCCGCCAAGTCAGAGACCGGGACTGGTAAAGGCTCGTCTAGCCTGTCGGTCAAGTCGTGTTGGACAGAAAAAGTTTGTCAAGCATTCAAGTACCAGTCGGACTTCAGAGAGTCAACCGAATGACGATTCGGATCATCAGGCATCGAGTGAGGTGGCGATGGGCTATCGGGTTGGTCTGGTACCAAAAGACGATGGTGACTCGTTTCAGTTCTGGCAGTTTCGAACGGATGGTCGCTTGCACAACAAAGTAGACCAAACTGCATAAGCGAATAATGATAATAATTATTATGATTCTTTAAGAAAATAATTCGTTTCTCTTTATAGGTTATGCTGGTGTTCTAGCAATTCTTATTATCATTCATATTCTTCCTATTCTTTTTTTCATATTCTTACACTCTTATTAATATTGAGTATTACTAATATTAATATTAATAATAATAAATATTATTATTATTTTATTATTTTATAACTATGATTATTTTAATGCTTC